TGCGACTATCCACTAATGGTTTTTAACAAAAAAAACCCCATAGAAATAGCATATTTAAAGCAACGCTTTTAAACATTAAGCGGATGGTGACTCATCTAATCTATCATTCTGGTCATATAAACGTCGTATTGCGTATATACATGAGTTTTTAGTGTGTTTATTTATCCTTTTATAGTTGTATACATACTTTCCATTTGGACCTTTCTAGTTTATTTGTAGTTTTAAGATTTTTGAATTTGGATCTCACTGGCAATAAAAAAACAGTGTTTTCTATTCACAATAAATGATTATGTGTGGTTGATAATTATTATTCGCCATTATTGGGGTTGTTTTTGTATATGAAAGTGTTTAAATAGGGGGGTCCATATCCGCTAGAGGGGGGTCCATATCTACTAGGAGATTTGGACCGGGGGGTCCACATCTACTACGAGATTTGGACCGGGGGTCCATATCTACTGGGGGTCCAAATCCGAGCAACAGACTGGAGCAGAGTGTATTTTTGGTGCTTATATCCCTTATATGATTATACCCCTTTTAGTTTTGGATGCCTAAATATTTTATACGATTATATCCCATTTTTATCAGGGATTTAGCTGTAGCAACTTCTGCCTTAAAGGTGTTTTCTTACTTTTTTGATAGCTACCCACTATCTTGCACTGGAAGATCTACTGGACCAAAATATTCGGCATCAAACTCCAACGCCAGACCTTCTCGCAACTTCGGAGTTGAAATCTACATTTGTATAATCCACCTTCGTCTTATAATATAAGACGAAGGTGGATTATAAAATCTACCTTGTCTTGGAGCTCAGCAAGTACAGGAAATTTTAAAGAACAAATCAATTTCGCACATTGAAATTAAGGTCTTAATTTATTACACCAGAAAATTTGTGGTGTAAAATTCTAGCCGATGCCAGGGCCTTCTCAGCACAAAGGCCCTGAGGAAAAGGTTTGGCAAATGGATACTTTGTGCCTCAATATGGAAATCAATACTTTGTGCCTCGATAGGCAAATCAATATTTTGTGCCCCAATACGGAAAGGGTTAATATATTGTTCTGATTGACAACAAATATCAAAAGAGAACTGATGCTCAAAACATGAAATACTAACAACTTTTGGTAAATCTTCAACGATATAGTTTATCCCCTTCTAGTAAAATGCCATTTAATGTTGTTTTGTGACCACTGAGCTAAAGGCTTTTTTCTGTTAAAAGTCCCAATAAACAATTGAAAGCACACTGCTTACCTCTTGATTGAATATCAAAACTTTCCTCCCCTTGATGAATTAATGTTAGTGCTCAAATATATTTGCATTATTCGGCTTTATTTTTGTGAAGGAAGGGAATAATGACAAGCGCATGCATTAAGTCCATATTAGACAGCCCTGAACCACCTTCACTCAATTTTATTTCCTTCCCCCTGTATATTGATTAAAATTCCAAGTTATCTGTCAAAGAAGGCCATGCAGGAAGGAAGGGTGGGCACAAGGTTGGTTTTCTGTATACTTTTGTATACTGTAAATATAATAGCTGCTACAATTGGTCGAAATGTAGCCAATCATTGTGCTGGCATAGATTGTTTTATGCAGCCACGTGATAAGCTAAAGCGAGCATGTTGCCTTTTTGTTGCATCTCACCGTTCCCAAAAGCTATTTGTGTGCTGAGTTGTTCAAAGAGAAGCAATATTGGTATGCATGCCATGTTTTCTTTTTCTGCATGGGAGAAATAAATTATAGTAGGATGACAATAGACCAATATTCAATACTTAAGAAATAGAAAATATTTTCCATGTTTCTATATAGAGTTATAGAAACATGCATGAAAGTTTGGGAGAAACGAAGTGCGAGTGTTTCCACACAATTTCTAGTTTCTCCCAAACTTTCACAAGTGTTTCTATAAATTCTATAGAAACACAGAAAAAAATGTTTTCTATTTCCTTTATTAAATAGCCTTTTAAAAACAACAGAAAAGATAAATTTATTGATTGTAATTGTTTTCATTCAAATATTAATTCCACTTTAATACACGTTCTTGTAAAGAATAATTATAAAAGCATAAAGAAGTATATAGAAGCTGAACAGATCGCACCCTCTTTAACTTTACTCTACAACAAGTCACTCGAGACAGGCATATTTCCAGACGAGTGGAAACTGGCAAATATTGTGCTGATACACAAGAAAGATAACAAAGATCATGTTGAGAACTATCGTCCAACATCCCTGCTAAGTATTATCTCGAAAATTCTAGAACGGTGTGTTCTGATTCGTCTGCGTGACCATCTATTACTGATGTTAGACCATGCGCAACATGGATTCCTGGAAAATCCTGCGTGACTCAACTGGTTGAAGTTATCGACTACATTGGCTCTTTACTACACTCTGGCAAGCAGACTGATGTGATTTATCTACAATCACTTTCAAAAGTTGTTGGGACACATGCAGTTTTAAGACGTAAATTTCAATTTTTCAATTTCAATTTCAATTCAATTTATTAAAAGTTAAAAACAAACAAATTACACACTACACTAACCCGCAAGTAGTTAAAAACTAATCTAGGCGGGTATAGTGTTGATTAGAATATATATATAGTACATAGTCAGTGTTGAAAAGGTACATTATTGTGCAAAATAGAAAGAAAAGAAAAGAAACAACAATTAATTAACGGCCTAAGAAGAAAAATATTTTTAATAACTTATATGTTTTATCTTTGATATTATCGTAGTGACATCAACATAAACATCCTCGCTTTCCAAGACCTGCAAAAGTATTGCATTTATTTTTGTTTTAAAAATACACTTACATCGGTTCCGTAATTCATTAGGGATACCATTCCAAATTTTAGTTCCGAGTCGAGAGAATGAGTTCTTTTTTTGATTCTGATTCGATTGCTGAGTAAAATAATTTCCACCAATTGCAGATCTTGTGTTGTGACTATGTATCTGGTTTACATTTGTAAACATTTTTAATAGGTTTTGTGGTGCTAGAGTATTGGCTATGTCGTGCATCAAAATACTCACAGTTTTATAATAGAGCATTCTTATCGGTAGCACATTTGCATTTACAAATAATGGTATGGCATGTTCTCTGTTTCTTGCAAAGAACATCAGTCGTAAAGCACGTTTTTGAAGAATCAGTATTTTATCCAGATTCGTCTTAGCTGTCTGCCCCCATACAGATAAACCATATGAAATATATGGATGAATTAGTGAACGATAAATATTTAAAAGTGTTGGAAAAGGAACAAAATGCCTCAATCGCGATATGATACCAATAGTTTTACTTATTTTAAGTGTTATATGATCAATATGAAATCTCCATGAGAGGTTACTATCAATCAAAATACCCAAATATTTCACATAATCTTTTTGCTCCAGTGAAATTAATGTATTTGTTTTATAGTCGTGAACTTTTAAGTTTGGTTTATAGTTTAACCTTTTTTGGTATGGATGAAATATAACAAAATTTGACTTTTTGATGTTTAATGTCAATTTATTTGCAAGTAGCCAGTCACAAATATATTCTAGTTGTTTATTAACAATAGTTTCGAGAGACTTTAAATTTTTGTCAGCATAAAGTAAATTGGTATCATCAGCAAATAAGAAGAAGTCCAATTTGTTTGAAGAATATTGTATATCATTAACATATATCAAGAATAACAAAGGTCCGAGTACCGATCCCTGTGGAACGCCACACTGTGTCTGTTCTTTATCTGACATATAGTTTCCTATTTGAGTTGTTTGTGATCTACCAATCAAATATGAAGAGAACCAATTATTGATAATACCCCTTACTCCATAGTGATTAAGTTTAGACAATAATATTTCATGGGTAACTGTATCAAAGGCTTTTTTAAGATCTATGAAAACACCACACGAAAAAAGGTTATTGTCCATATTTGTTTGTATTTTGTTCACAATATCAAGGAGAGCATGATTTGTAGAATGACCCTCTCGAAATCCATATTGCGATGAACATAATATGTTGTTTTGGTCAATAAATATTTTTAGTCTATTATACATAAGTTTTTCAAATATCCGATTTAAATTAGATAGTAACGAAATTGGTCTATAGTTTCCTGGTTCTTCTTTGTCATCGCTTTTAAAAATTGGCACGATTTGTGCATGTTTTAGTTGAGAGGGATACATGCCTGTTTCAATTGATGCATTCATAATATTTGCTAACGGTTTAGAAATAATAGTTCTCGCGCCTTTAAGGATTGGTGCTGCAAATGAATATAGTCCGTGAGCCTTATTGGCAGGTAATAATAGTATTTCCATTTCTACTTCCAAAGGGGTAACAGCATCAAAGTAAAATGAATTTGTAGGAGAAGGATATTTTAGATATTCACGGAAATCATGCTTAGAGCTAGGCAATTGGTTTGAGAGATTTTGTCCAACTGTTGCAAAGTGCCTGTTAATTAAATTTGGAATTTCGGTGGGATCATTTGTGACACTTCCATCGTTTGGTCTTTTCAAAGTACATATGTTACGTTTATCTCTTCTTTTATTATTAATCAAGGTATTAATGCCCTGCCAGGTTCTCTTCATATTATTTATATTGTTAGAAAAATAATTATGATAATAATTTATTTTACTTAATTTTGTTAACGTTGAGATTTTGTTTCTATATTGCTTATATTTTTCTTTTTCTCCAGAATAAAATAGCTTATTTTTAATTCGTATTGATTTAAGTAAGCCTTTCGTTATCCACGGTTTGAGAAGTTGTTGAGATTTGCGCTTTGAACATGTTGTGAGAGGTGCATGTTTATTTACTATTTACTTTGGTGTAAAAATTTGAGAATATTTCATCAATACTGTTTGCATTGTTCACATTTGGTTCATCAAATTCAATTTGTGCAAGATCATTATTAAAATTTTTTTTTGAAAAACGTGAAAAATCACGATATTGATTTTTTACAGTGTTCCTCCTAGTTAGCTTGCTTGTGTTTGATAAGATTACACAGAACTGTGAGAAATGATCACTTATATCAGATACAATATTACCGCTTTGAACTGAACCGTTTGTTTTATTGATAAGAATATTATCAATGAGCGTAGCCGAATCTTTGTGAACTCTAGTTGGTTTATCTATTGTTGGACTAAATCCATAACTTTGCATTGTAAGTAAAAAGTTATGAGCATACGAACAGGTCTCAATTCGGAGGAGGTTTATGTTAAAATCACCCAATATGTAAACAGGTTTGTTCAATGAACCAAATCTTTCCAGACTCTCATCAAAATAATTTTGAAATCTCCCTGGGGAGTTGTGCTGTCTATAGAAGACTCCGCATATTATGTTTTTCTTATTTTCACATTGTATTTCAATCCAAAGGGCTTGAAAAGCCTCGTTAGTTGTTTTCTCAAGTACTTTATAATGAAGTTCACTGTTAACATACATTCCAACACCTCCTGCTGACAAAGGCGTGGGTACGTATTCAAACTGATAGCCTGGAATATTATAATCAAAGTCTAAAGTGTCTGTATATTGCCTATTCTAGTTTCGTTAATCCCAATAATGCTAAAATTAAACTCAAGCTCACTCAGAAGATGATTTTGAAAGTTATCAATATTTCGTCTTAAGCTTCTTATGTTGTTATGAAGAAAGGATATAGAATGGTTTTCCAATGATTTTTTTGCGCAAGAAAAACTATGAGGTGAATAATATCTACTTTGTATAGGTTCAAAATGAGAATTACGATCAGGGTTTTTGCTAGAATTTACATTCAAATTAAAGAAATCTATGTCATACATGCAGGGTAGTTTATTTAAATTTCTTTTAGTAGGCAGTTCGTTGGTTAGGCTATTATTAAATTGACCATGGCTTTGTACAATATTATATCCGTTGTACGGCAGTTCACGAAACAAATATTTAATCATACTTCTAGCGCTTGTATTGATTTCACACATTTATAACTTATAAGTTAAATAATAAAAGAAAGACTATAGTAATAACTTATCTATGCTCATCAGATGGGCGTCGAGATGGTTGCGCTTGTTGCTCAAAACGATCGAAATCACTCCAAGGACCGTATCCTGACTGCACGAGAAGTATCATATTCTTTCAAATATATGTTCGCAGACTTGCTCCAGCAATATTTAAAATTGCATCGCTTTTGAAGATTCTTGACTTGGTAAAACACCTCTTGCATACGTGGCGATAGGTGCTCATAAATTCCGATTCTCTCAAACTCTATATGTGTTCCCATCCCCAATGATACGTTCGTCAGCTCGCTGGTGTTTCTTTTCATCGCCATAACACGTTCTTTTGCCATTCGACGTGTGAATTTACATATGATCGGATTTGGTTTGTTCATCGGTCTGCTCCCGCTATTTCTTCGAGGGACTCGATGAGCTATATCTAAGTCCTGCACGGAGATTTCCTGCACACCTAAACCAGCAAAGATCTTTAGGCATAAGCTGGGGGTTTCTTCACACGACTCGTTTTGTTTGACTTTGAGGCACGCCCACGATTTTAAGATTATATTGGTAACGATAGTCTTCGAAGGCAGTAATGGCGGCTGCGATCTTGTCAACTTTATCTGAAGTAGAATCTATTTTGTTACCAATTCGTTTGAGTTCGTTTTGCGTGTCCTTCTTAAACGTAAGCAAATCATCATATGTATTGCTATAAAACTGTAGGTCTGAACTTTTAACGGCTTCAGAGCGAATAGACCCAACGCGTTCACTTATGCCTTTCAAATCTTGTTTCAGGTCTTGAACTTGCTGCTTTAAGGCATCGTTCTCCATCTTAAGCTCTTTAACTGTACTCATTTTAACACAATTGTGTAAAATATCTGAGTAAATTTAACAAAATCTTCTAATCTCTCTGGTTCAATATACTGGGTGAAACGTTTTACACCCGTTTTCAAAATTACGCGACCTAGGACGAAAATGCTAGAGTTGACATATCAGTTTTATGTCATTCGGTCACGAAGTTTAAACTTTGAGTTTTGCGGTTCCTTGTCGATGTATATGATTTGTATGCTTTATATAAACAGGCTTACAATGACTTCCAAGATATTTTAGTGAGAATTATTGCAAGATTTAAGCACAAACAAAATCATAACAACACCGTTATAGTCTAGCGCGCGTGTTTTATACTGACAGCTAAATTCCAGGATAAATTGTTATTTTTCAAACTTTAGAAGTTATTCACGACACATATTTCTTTAGTGATGGTTTGTATTGTGCTTTAGTTTGTATATCTAAGTTATCTAACTCATTTTTGTTCCGTTTTGGTATTAAATACGGTTTAAAATGTCTTTTGACAGTTTGTTTACGTTTGCTATTTTTAGCAGTTTTTGTGACATAAAACTGACATTTGAAGTAAGAGTATTTTTCAGGAAGGTCGCGTAATTTTGAAAATGGGTGTAAATACGGAGCTCAAAGATGCACGTCTACACCATGCGATTTTGATTGTGCCAAAATTGGATACGTACTTCTCAATGTCAACATCAGATTCTCTCGCCAAAGCCCAGTTGTGCCACACTTGCTCGTAGTTTCATCTAGTTCCTGCACGGCAATTTCATTTCACGCTTGTGTTTAAAATACCCTTCCGTCATTTGGTTTGTTTTGGGAAAATCATTAATTGTACTGCAGTACAATTAATGAAATACTTGTACTCCTCTCAACCAATCAGCATCCAGTAATTTTGTCATGCTAATAATAACTACTGTAATGGTTCAATGTTTTCGCAAAGATTCGTCCTTTTATGTGCAGGAAAGAATCGCCGTCGCTTATCTACATCTTCCATGTCTTTGCCGCATTGTAAACACGACGGTATCATGGAATTTGGAGAAGGATCGTCTTGAAAATATACTAATATAGTCATAGAAAGAAGTACAAATCTACCGTAAATTTATATACGGCATTTTAGTCTAAATTGATAGCATTACTGTCGCTTATGTTATTAACAGTTATTGTCATTAGAAATTAATCATAATGTGTTCTCAAATTTTTTGCGCGAGCGGAAATCTACGATCGAAAAGTCAAACGAAAGTCTATTTACAGAATTGAGTTGAAATCGACGACTTTTGTAAAAATAGGTACGCTAGGCGTACATGTATCTGCGCAAAGGAAATCCATGGTTGCTATGAGTAAACAATTAAATTTCGAAGTGACTATACAGCTGGCAGCCAGCTATTTAGTAATCTGCCGGCGATATATTGACTAAGGATAAATGCTAAGTCAAACAAAACACAACCCGACCCAGACTGCGTTTCACTTTCCGCACACAGTGCCTACCATAAACTCTAACGGCAAGCTCGGAGAAAGCTAGCGCAAACAAAAGTTTTTTTATATTTAACTATAGTCACTATAATAAATACCCAGCTGCCGGCTAGTCACTTTGTTTATATTTTATGATATGACAAAGAATGTTCAGATTGCAGTCTCTTCTCTACTGCAATCAACTGTCAGTCAACTGCCAGTGGCACACACTAGGAGGGGGGTGGAGGTAGGCTGAGCCCCTCCTATAACTTTGATAGACTGTAAAAATCTTGTACCAAATAACACAAATCACACTTATATAATAGTACCATTAATTAAAACATTGTAATTTAATACCACTAATTAAAACAGTGTTTTGAAAACCTAGTTTTTTACAAAATGTGTTCTCAGAACATCTTAAAGCCTTTTCGTGAGTAACCATGTAATGCATGGTTACTCACAAAAAGGCTTTAAGATGTTACTTCGGGCAATGATAAGCTTATTCATGTTCCGATAACATCATTTACAAAACTTGCCACATTCATTTACGGATTTTTTTATAGCAAATAGCCAAATTCACCAATAGTAATACAGTACCCGAAACTCGTCGAAACTTCATATGCATTGCCATTGAACTAATTATACTAAGCACTCACTCTCAGTGAAAGGAGTGGATGTTCGGAATAATCTTGATGTTAGCTTGACAAAAATAACATCACTACCAATCTTTAAAAAAAAATCGAAAATACATAATTGACATTTTCAATACAATCTAGTAAACTTATATTTTAAACAAAGAAGTCGAATTCATATTCATGTAATTAACAGATTATGTCTATATAGCTCTCCAACTTTTCTTCTTATTATGTACTTTATTCTTACTAGTGAAAGCAATATTAATGTATTAATCTTCATATTCTTGTAAATACTTTTACTGGCACTGATTGACACAATATAAAACTTTGCACTGGACATTAAACTAGGGCCTTACCTTAAAAGCCTATGAAGGTTTCTTTAGACTCATAGCCCTATTTATAGATGTAGCTTTAATACTTTTATGTAAATAATTACCATAATGATTGGGTGAAATAAATAAATTAATCTTCTAGGATAAAATAACAATCGTCACTCTGTAGAAAGCCGCCATCTTTGTTTTACGGCCTGTTCGCAGGCATACAGCCCTAATTAGTCGACCTGAGTGTTTAAGGCACGCACAAACTCGATAGCATAGTATCTAGCGCTCCGCGCAGATACAAAAATTGTGAAACTTACATGCCTAATAATTAACTGCAATAATGTTTGCGCCAGAATTTTAATCAGATCCAAATTCCTGCAAACGAGACAAGTCGATCTCGTGGCTCGCGGCTTCACCGCTCGCCGCTCGCTATTCAAGATCGACTTGTGGGCAAGTCTAGGTAACATGATATTTTGTTAAGAATATTTTTACAAATGAAAAATCCCTTAAAAATTTACTTTTAGTTACGAAATTATCCCCAAACATATATATGTTAGGTATGTTATGTATAGGTAATAGCATGGGCGGTTTCGAGTGCAATTTGGATACAACATGCACGAGTGAGTTTTTCGAACACCTCAAAATAGCACGAGTCCGAAGGACGAGTGCTATTTGAGGTCTTTGAAAAACTCACGAGTGCATGTTTATCCAATTCTCACGAGAAACCATGCTATTACTTATTAATAATTTACATATACAAATGTTCGAGACAATTGTATAGTTTTAGCTTACGCGTTTATAGCGAACATTCTACTGGCAAAGTTTTCCTGGCTTTGTTATATCTCATTATACAACGCTAACAACTTAAAAATTCCACTCAACTATGTAATTTTTGTTAGTCTTGTTTGAGGTGAATGCTTTTCCATTTAAAAATAAAGATAAAAGCCATACTTTCAACGCGAAGGCAAGTTTTACTTTATGTAGCGCGGCGCCATGTTTGTTTTGTTTTAAAGCAATCTGTGACCGTTACTTCTTTAAACTAAATTGCTTTAAACTGATTGGTACGTTGATTTAATCATCACAATCTTTTTCCACCAATCAGATCAGTTTGCTAAAGATATTTGCACTGTGATTACATAAAATTGCACTGTGATTACAAAAAATAGGTACGCACTGCGTACATGTGGCTAGCCTATTCAGCCTGTCGAATACAGCTGGAGTTCACATTGTCATAAATATTCATCACAAACATTCATTGTGATACAAAATTAATAATACAAAATAAAACAGATGCAGTATCTTTCTTACAATGCCAACAAATGGCTACAATCACTCGATTTTAAAGCAATATGGTTTGTAGCAACGGTTTGGCAAACAATATTATCGAGTCACACTTTAATAATAAGCATATATTCAGCAACTAATGATGTCACTTTTATTGTTTTTCAAAATTTCACTAATATGTAATTCACTAAGACTTCATAACATGCGTTTCTGGTTATAAATATTTTCTGGTGTCTGGTTTACAAGTTATTAGCTTTTCTTGAATTATGTTTTACTCACTACTCTGGTTTAAATAAATGATTACAAAGCCCAGTCGAATTGTAATCAAGACCCAACGTTTCGACACTCCAGTCTAGTGTCTTCATCAGGGGTGATCTAAAACTGCGATTGTGGCTTCTTAAATACCCAAGGGATGACGTCACCTGCCAAGAAGATGCACATATTCCTCTGGCAAATAGGCGCCGTCAACCCTATTCAAAGCATGATGACTCATATTTATATGCTACGCTTCTAGGCAAAGTCTTTGACCATAGCGATTGTTTGTGGTAATTACTTTAGAGTTTTCCCACGCAATCTTGTGTTTGGTGTAACATACATGTTCGGCTAAAGCTGATTTTCCCTTGTCTAAAGTTGAATGAAGACATTAGACTGGAGTGTCGAAACGTTGGGTCTTGATTACAATTCGACTGGGCTTTGTAATCATTTATTTAAACCAGAGTAGCGAGCAAAACATGATTGACATACCTGGTTGCAGTGAACGAACAAACTTTATTTTCTTAAATTGTTGGCATCGCAGATTTCATAAAACCTTTAACCCATTAAGCTGCAGAGCTTTCCCACTGACGAGTATAATGGTTTGGCGTTAAACAAGAAAATATGTAGGGCGCAATGGGTTAAATTCAAAGTTGTTCATTAATATAATATTTAATACTAGATTTCAAAACATTATTATTTATTGTAAGATCTAAAAGCATCGTAATTTATAATGAACACATCCAATCAATTATATCATCACTACTAAAACTTTTGTCTGATAGTTATATTGCCCAGTTGTCTTACAATTTATTGGAAGGAATTTTTGCGAATGCAGTCGCACAAGAAGTTGAAAGACTTTGTGTGGAATCCTGTAATGGTTGTCAAGTCGGTCATCCTAGTCAAAGACAACATGACTGCCTCGTGATGAACGAAAACGAACGATGGCAAATGTATGGTTTACAAGCGATCGAACGAGTGAATGGTAAGCGTACGGTTTGGAATGAATTCGCTGAGGCAATGAGGGTACTAAAACTGATGGTTAATAGAGATGTACTCGAACATTTACAGC